GCAACAGGCGACCGGTGTGGATACAACCAGCCTGCTCTTAAGATACCACAAAAACCGTATCCGTATAGCGTGTCTATTAAACGCACGTCGCAGGTGTAACGTCAAAGCTCTTCCGCTAACCCACTGTATTTACGACTCGTCACGCTTTTGCGAGACTTACATTCTACCTGCATTTCGACCTTATCTCAAGGTTAATTAAAACAGAGTTAATTGAAGGCTGCAGAAAAATACTTATCGATATCATTGGAACGTCTTACTTAACAAAATAAGACATTTTTAGAAATAATTTTCTCACTATTTAATATAAATAATATAAATAATATATGGTTTAATTCATACAATTAAAAAAATCAATTCGAATAAGAATCAATTCGAATATAATCAATGCGATATCTTTATAATGTTCTATTTATTGCGATGTTTTATTATTTTAGATTACAAACAGTTTTATAATCTATAATTGATAAACATAATTCTAAAATTTCGTGATATAGTGCACATGTATCGCATGTGTTAAAATTAATGTAACAATTTCAATCAAGAGAAAACAAGAATTCTTTAAATTACACAAATGACTCAATGAAAATATAATACTACTACTTTCTAGCCCGCAGCAATAACATTATGTTCAGATCCGCGTTTCCAGTCGAAATATCAATCATTGGAAATATTCACGACACCAATGAACTCAAAACTTGCGGCTTTGCCAGTTATGACTTTTTCTAACAGAGGTATGACATGATAGACGAGGAATGAATTTCACAATGAATAATTATACAACATAAAAGCGAGCAATAAACTCTTGCACTAACGACTGAGATGACGTACCAAGTTGAAACCAAAATTATTCATATTCCATTTTCCATCGCGATCGCGTCGTCTTATTCAATTTTCTCGCTCTCAGATTTTTATCTGAATCGAAAAGCGAAAATCCGAGTTGCCCATTACACCTATAACTTCCGGTCGGAAATTTGCGGGATCGAGTTTGAGACACTCGTAAATTATGTCGAACTTACGTGTCCGATATTTTCCTCGCGCGACTATATCGTACCATCATTATCGGTAAACATACTATTAGCATCGCTTGGGTCTGAGCAAGCTGGCCGGGGGTAAAAGAGCCATGTACCAATCTAGCCTCATAAAACTGGTCGAGTGTCCGGTAATAATGTGCGAATGCGCTATCCATCAGCCAGGACAAAACAGTTAAGCGGCTATACTTCAGAGCGCGGTAATGAACGCCGATCGGGTGAGGCAAAATGTCGACGAAAAGAAATCTGGCAGAACACGCACTAAATCTGCCACCACGTATCAGAGAGGAGCAGTGATAATTTGCACTTACATTTCATAGTTGATCGGCCGCCACTGTCATTACAACCGTACACCTCATTACAACCGTAATAAACCTACTACTTTCGGTTTTTCTCTTTTACTCGAGGTATGTCTATATTGGAAAAAGAATTTGGTTTCATTACTTGAAAATGGACAATTATAAATTTTGTAAATAGAAAATTAGAATTTCTTGATTCAATTTATTATAATTTTAGTTGAGATTAAAATTCTGATTAATGTGATCAGAATCCTATATACTATGATTCTATTTTCAATTAGAAATTTTTCTTAGAGATTATTTTTAAACACAATGCTAGAATCACGACGCGAACATTAATACAAATTATAAATCCTGATGAAGATTTAGTTGCTGGAAATACGTAGATAGAATTTCTTAATTTATTTATGGTAATCAAGAGAAGATAATTGATATGCATAATGATTGATAATTGTAATGCGTGTCCTTTCATATTTCATGAAGAATTGATTGATTTTAACGTCAGTATAATTTTTAAAGAGAGAATTTGAAGAAATTGTTAAGTATCCTCAAGTTATAAGAAACGAGTATCGATGTGGAAATCTCGGTGGAAATTATGTGATTAGATCCGTATATGTCCATCATCTAATGGTAGTACCGTCTCGCACAATATAAGACAGACGATTAGGAGAGCGCTGGTAGATGATGCGGCATATACTTGCCCACTAGTTAAGTACGGGAGCTGTATTGCGATCGATCGTTAATAACACTTCGGACTATAATTGGATGCCAGGATCGCCACCTGCTGTTTCCATATCGTCGATGTAGCCTAATTTGAGTACCCGGTAGTTATCAACGCTGCGAATCACACGAATTAAAACCTCTCTCGTGTGGTCCGGATATATTAGCTGTAGAGATAGCGGTGCAATTAAATTCTTCGAGCGTTGACATGAACTAGAACAGTGATCCTGAGCACGTTCGTGCCTCTAAGTTTCTTGTTATATTATCTCAGATTCTTTTTTTTCTTGTTTTTTTAGATGCGAGAAAACATAAAACTATAATCTCTTATGTAAATGACCATCTTGTCCAAAAACTGAGGTTGAAGTTAATTAAGTCAATAATTAAATCATATAATTAATTATAATGATTAATATTTCATATTATAAATAAAAATTTAATCTTGCGATTCTACATCTACAAATCTGCAAAATAACTTTATTCTAAGAAATTTGGCTAATAGTAATTATATAAAATATATTTCTGCATGTTATTAACAAAATTTTAGTGAAACGTATTTTTTTTAATTATATTTTTTAGTAATAAATTGCTGAAGTCATTTTTCAAACTTTATCTCAATTTATTAAAGAAATAAATATTGAAATAAACTTTACATATCAAATTGAAGTAAACTTAGTTTCTTGTAAAAAAACTGTATTAAGAATAACCTTACCCTTACAAAATATGAAGCAAGAAGATTTATCTTGTTACAAAAAGGTTAAGTTATTTCCGACTTCCGGGATAAAACATTCGTGGTAATCGATTTTACCTTTTTTTTTAATAGAGCATTAAATGCTCGGCGAGCATTACGTTGCATGTACATTCGGACACACTTCTTGCATACACCGATATAAGTCACGATATGAGTTGAGTCAGAGATGTTCGCGTAGTCTCTGATTAGGGCTAGCCCCTAATCTAGCTCGGGAGAGTCAACATTGCTGCCGGTGATAGCATAAATCTACCTTAATGATATCACCACGTAATGCCGGGGGGTGACGCTATCTCGGCCAGTCGGTGTACGTGAGAACTCACTGACACCTCGGCATCTGGAGTCTCACGAGCAATCGCGCGCAAAGAGAAGATGGTATCGCCGAGGTTTCCTCTTCCTATCTGTCCGACACGTCATTTAGGTGGAACCACGCAGCGACGAGCGGCTTGAAATTCTGTTCGGGACATGATGGTTACGCCTGCCAACGACCGCGAGTAACTTCTAGTCTCTGTGCCAGTCTCGTTATTTCTTGACAAAATGAGAAGATTACTAAAAAAAAAAAACTACCATGATTTTATTATTACTTGAATTTTTTCGCGCGACATTATTTTATAAAATAATATATTCTCGTCGTTTACGCAGTTTCATGGCTCAAAAAGATCCGTTATAACTGTATAATGTTTTATTTCGTTAATTAATAATACTAACATTTTATTCAGAGATATTCCACTGAGAATGATTTGTTATAGAAACAAATCAAGAGAAAGCAAATGTGATATTTGTTTAAAAAATCGATAGATTTGTTACGATTGCAAATTAATTCGTCAATGTAACAAATAATAAATAGTATCGCTAGCAAGTAAGAGGTTCATATATATA